TCCAGAGGCTGCGCAGAGAAGAAAGAGCAGCATTCTGTGTTCTGATCTTGACACTGCTCCCCAGAGAGCAGGAGCCGGACCTCAGTGTGTCAGGGGTCGCTCAGTTCATGTTCCCACTTTACAGGTAGAGAACAAGGCCCAGGGAGGCCTGGGACCTGCTGTTTGCAGGAAGGCTTCCCTCTGAGGCCTCTCCCCTGCCTGCAGAGAGCTGAGGCCCCTTCTTCCTCTGCCATCCAGGGAGCCCCTGCTGTGGGGTGATTCACTGGGCCTTGAGCTCAGGGTTCCCCAGAGGGCAAGAGCCTGAGGCAATAGGTCAGTAAAAGGTGAGTGTCCTGTGTGACTGGTGGGGTCAGCTCAGCCCCCTCCTGGGCAAGGGTGAGGCTGAGGGAGGGGGCAGTTGGAGTGCTTTTGTCTGCGCGTAGAAGAAGACCATGGGCAGGTGGCATCAGACTGGTGATGCAGGGAGGTGGCCTGTTCTAATGGAGCCACCCATATCCAAAACAGCTGCTCTTGCTTTGGACCATGGGAGGACAAAAGAACAAGCCAGGGGAAACCATGGTCAGATACAATACTATGGTGTGAATGTGTCCTCCGAAGTTTGATTGGTTAATTTTGCTGGCACTGGGGATCAAACCCAGGTCCTCACACATGCTAGGCAAGTGCTGTACTGCTAAATTGCACCTTCAGCTCTTAGCCCTCCCAAATTCATGTATTGGAAACTTAATCTCCAACTCCAGATGTTGATGGGAGGTCCTAGAGGTAGATGAGGTCACGAGGGTGGGACCTGGGTGGAATTCATTTTATAAGGAGAGCCCGCATAATGCCCCCTGCATGTTATAGCACAGCAGTGAGGCCCTTACCAGCCAAATGTCCTCTGACCTTGGATATCCTTGCCTCTAGCACTGGAAGAACTAAATCTCTGACATCATAAATTGCTCAGTGAATGGTCTTCTGGGTAGCAGGGCCAAATGCACTAAGACAGGCCTCACTGTCTTTGGCCTTCTCTCTTGGCGGCCAGCAGGACTGACTGGGGGAGGGGGCGAGGCCTGCACCTGGGAAGTTTGTCTCTGCTCAGGTTGTGTGGCCTGAACATGGAGTAGGAAGGAGGCTTCCAGTCCCACTGTGATGCTCACCAGCTGGAAGCCCTGGGAAGGCAAGGCTTTACCTCGGGACCTTGAGCTTCTCATCTGTCCCGTGGGGCGAAGGGTCATCTCCATGCCGGCTGCCTCTCATCAGCACTGGGTCATGGACAGAACTTCAGAATCTCAGGGGCCTGGCCTCCCTCCCCAGCTCCCTCTGGCCTCTGCTCTGACTTGGCCTGTTGGCCTCTCCCTCTGAAATCATCACTGTGGCCACTGACTGTGGTGGCTCTGGATTGTTCCATTGGCCAGAGCCAGCCCATCCCTGACAGTGGGTGGAGCCCACTTCTTTCCACTCTGATCTTCTTCATGGTCTTCAGTGGCTTCTGGAACAAGACAAGGCCCTGACAATGACAAAACAGGGAACATGGGTGCTATGAGGACCACAGCTTTCACCTCCTGGTTTTCTCCTCCATCTTCCTAACACATGCAGTCATCAACAGGCCAAGGCTAGAAAGAGGGAAGAGCAAGAAACAGCTCAGAGCTCCAAGGAGGACAAAAGTAGGATGCTGTGGCCACTCTCTGCCCTGCCTTCCAGCCACGATGGTGTGGCCCATGGAAAGGATGCTGTCTCTCCTCTTTGAGGCTGCTCTCTCCTCTGCATCCACCATCCATATCTCAGCCTGTGGTGACAGCTGTCCTTTGGGATGGAGCACAAATGTCTGTGAGCACACTATCCCACATCCCTGGGGGAGGGTCAGTGGCCTCTCTGGGTGATTACAGATTCCAGCAGTGCCTGTTCTCATGGTCACGTCCCACCAGAGTCCCAGCTTCTGTATCCTATGCATTTCTCTTTGCTATGGCTTGCAAAGGACTCAGGAGCCCCAGGCACCTCTTGCCACAGAGCAGAGGTGCAGCTCTACTGTGAGACCATCCTCCCTTGCTGGCCAGTGCCCATGGCTCCTCACTGGCTGTGTTTGGCCCTGTCACCCTTGACCTTGACTCTGGCAAGCTCAGGTGCCACTCACCCTTACTTGGGGAGACAGACTAGCTGAGGCCACCACAGTAAGCCTAGATGCCTTCCTGGGAAGGCACAGAAGTCCCTGCAGTCTGTTCCCTGTGTTTGCTTAGTGGGACAGCTCTTGTAATGATAGGTGTGCCCATAGGCCACTTAAGAGAGAGGCAGGGATGAGACCATTCAAATAATAGCCACAGTGGCCAGTCCTTTCCTCTGACCTGGTGTGATGATGCCCCCTCCAGGCTCACACAACAGCCCTGCCATTTTGCTTTTATCATACTGTGTTAGTCAGGGCTCTCCAGAGAAATAGAACCAGGAGGACATATATGTAGAAAGATGGATTTGGTTTTGGAAACTGGCTCATATAGTTTTGGAGGATGGAAAGTCCTACATCTGCAAGGCACACTGGAGACCCAGGTCAGAGCTCATCTTGCAGTCTTGAGTGAGAAATTGCAGAGCAGGCCAGGCAGGATGGAAACTTAGGCAGGACTTCCAGTCTTGAAGGTGAATCGTTTCTTCTTTGGGAAAAACCTCTCTTTGCTCTTAAAGCCTTCAATTGATAGGATAAGGCCCACCCACATATGGAGGGTGGAGGTCATCTGCTTTACTCAAAGTCTACTGACTTAAATACCAATCACATTTAATAATATCTGCATAGCATCATCTCAACAGGTGCTTGGCCAAAAAAAGGAGGTGCCATATACTCACCAAGTTGACACATACTAATAACCATGCTGGTTTATCTTATAGGCCTGTGTGTCTGAACTCTAAGTATGGCTTGGCTTGAGTGTAGCCCAAAAGTCTCTTAAGTCACATGTACACACTCAGTGCTACTAGTTGGGAGCAGGAACCGAGTGGCCAACTCCTTCCTCTGGGTGTAGGGTATAGTTGAAGGCCATTACTCTCAGACACCTATCATGACAACAAAGAAGCACATTGGTGGATGTGATTAACCATGGATCATGGGAGTATCATTGATTTCTTGTTTTTTCCTTCATGCTTTTCAATAGTTTTCAAAATTTTTAAAAGAACATATATCAGTTTTTAATAGAAAAATCTTAACATGTTCATGACGGGGTTGTAATTTTTATGTCTCACTCTCAAGCCACTTGAACCATGGGTGGTAATCTAGGGTACCATCTAACTGTACCTCTTGTGCCCTCCAGCCTCTAGTTGGGAGCTTAGAGGCTGAGGGCTGCTGGAGGAGCAAGGGAGTTAATTCTGAGCCTGGAGACAGGGTACCTGGCTTCACCCCATATAAGCCCTGGTGGGTAGTAGGAGAGGGCTATTGGGAGATCTGCTTCTACAGAGTCCTGGTGTGCATTGGAGGAGGCAGAACACTGCAGATGAGCTGCAGCCAGAGGTCACCTCAGAGTATAGGCCCAGCTCTGCTTGGGGAGACAGGAAGAGGTGGTGCAGGCAGAGGGCTGTCAGATGAGAAGTGGAAGAAGACGCAGGCCCTGTACTCAGGGCTGTGAGAGTGTTGAGGGGTGGCAGGAGGTCATGAGGGCTGGAACAGTTAGCAAAGGACCCCGGGGGACCAAATGATGTCTACAAATGGGTTCTGGAGAGAAGGGAAAGAATGTCTTTCTCCATTCCCTGGGAAAGCCCTCACTACTCTATTCTTAGAAGGAGGTATATTTACTGGGGAAGTTTAAGTCTTACACCACACTCTTGACTTTTGCATTTTCAAACTTTGAGCTTTGTGAGTGTCTTGAAATTGTAACAACATTTAATGCATATGTAGCCTTGGTCCTTGCAAGGCATGATTGAAATCCCTTTAGGTATACAACTGGCAACCTGTGTCCATAAGTCCTGCATCCATGGACTCAACAAACCTCAGATCAAAAGAGTTTGAAAAAAATTTCATCTATATGGAATATTCACAGTCACTTTCTTGTCGTTATTTCCTAACCAATATAACTATTTACATAGCCTTACACTGTGTTAGATACTATAAGTAATGTAGAGATGATTTAGTGTATAGGATGTGCATAGGTTATATACAAATAGTATGCAATTTGATATGACACCTGAACATCTGAAAATTTTGGTATACACAATACCCTGAAACCAGTCTCCCTGAGTATCAAGGTATGACTGCACTGTATGAACTTATATAATCCTCATAAAACCTGTGTGTGTGTGTTTTAGGAATGAAGAAACTGAAGCAGAGAGAGATTAGGTAATGAGCCCAGCCTGCAGAGCTCATCTGTGGTGGATCTGGGAGTTGAACCCAAGTTGGACCTTGTTGTTATCCACGAGCCTAGTGGTGGAACAAGGTTTGGGAGCTCGGACTGGGAGGGCAAGGCCCGGAATGACCAGGCAGATTCTGCGGAGGTTTCTGGAACGCTTCCACTTTATTCAGGAAATGCACAGGCTTATATAGGGAACCATGGGGGAGGAGCGTGGGAGGAACATTTGACATTTGGTGATATCTTATTGGCCAGACATGGCAGAGTGATTTTTCTTGGGCAAGGTGAAGTAGGGACGGAGGTGTAGCCTGTTGGACACAACATCTATGCACTTAGGTGAGTTAGCTCAGCCTTAGCAACGTCTCCGAGTTAGCTCAGGAGACAGGAGTGTGGCACACCTGGACCAGCCAGGTTTCAACTCCCACAGGATCTGGGGGCAGGGAGAGTTTGTGCACTTACCTGCCGTGCTATGGTGCCCTTTTGTGGGAAGGGACACCAAAGATCTGTGGGTTCTTAGAAATACACTTTTGCATTCCCAGGGCCTGCCATGAAATGGGAATAACGGCTCTCTCCCCTCCTGAGCCCTCTGCTGATCCTCTCAGCCCACCTGGTCAGCAACTACTTTCCCTCTGCCTGCTCTTACCTGGCAGTTCTTTGTGAAGAAAGAATTGGAATTTCACTCAAAAGTTTCCCCACCTCCCAAGTCCAAGTCAGATGGGTGAGGTGCACTGTAATAGTTTGGAGGGAAGAACATCTCACAATAATATGAAAACCCCATCATCGTGCTTATGGGCCACAGAAGGATTTAGCCTTTTCTTTCCTTAAGAAAGATAGTCTCTCAAACTGAGTACTAGACCATTGATTCAGGGATAATTGGAGGTATTTGTGTGAAGAACTGCATCTGCTGGCACAATCTGCTAACGTTTTCTCTTTTAGTAGGTATAAAGAATATTGACAAAGGAGATTCAAATGGTCCTGCATTTCCCCTTCTTAGGAATAAGGGGAAATTAGTTTTGAACATAGCATAAATACTATCATATATGTTCCCAAATATCGATTCTGTGCACTGTCTTATAGCATATGAACATAGTAGGGATTCAGCAGAAACTGACTAAAGCCATATTAGCTCGTGAGAATTCTGTCCACTGCATTGTTAGTGGGTGAACTTAGGCAAGTGACTTCAGCTCTGTGGGTCACAATTCCCTCTGTAAAGCGGAGCTGGTAATAGTAGCTATCACAGTACAAACGCTTCTCCATTTGCAATGTAGTTACATCCTCATAAATCCACTGCAAATTGAAAATATTGTACGCAGCTCAAAAATGCATGAATAGACCTAGCTTGTTGCACATCATGGCTCAGCAATACAGAGCACTGGAGAGTGTTGGTTGTTTCCCTCATGATTACCTGGCCGATTGGGGGGCTATGGCTCTTGCCACTGCCCAGTGTTTCAAGAGAGCATAGTGCTGAATATTTCTAGCTCAGGAGAAGGTCCACATTCAAAATTCAAAGTATGGCTTCTACTGAATGCATGTTGCTTTTGCATCAGCATAAAGTTGCAAAATCATAAACTATCCTAAGTAGGGCTATTCTGATCCATCGTCAGATGTGTGTCCAAGTCACTGGCCCACCCAGTAGGGCTATTCTCTGTCTACCTGACTGGCTGGCTCTGAGGATCTCAGGTATTAATTCAGGCTGGTTAGGTCAGTGCCTGATCCATTGCATGCTCTCAGGGATTGGCTACTGCTGTGACAGACTTTAAATGGGAAAGTAACTGGAAAGTTGTTTGGGATAGAGGTCACCCTGGCTACTTTGCTCCTGATGATCCAGACCAGCAATTTTATATATATATTCATATACATATATATATTCATGTACATATATATTCATATACATAAAATAGATATTTGCTTATGATGAAAGTCTAGAAATAAGTAGCAAATTAAAATACAAAAGAGAAAGTTTTGCAAGTGACTTTAGAGAACATCTGGTTTAATTTCCTTCATTTTTAACGTGGAAACTGAGGCCCAGAGAGCTGGGGCTGAATTCCCTGAAGTAGGAACTATGTTCTTTCCCCAGGTCAATTTCTCTATGTGTGGCTGTAACCTAATGACAGGTTTGGAGGTCACAGAGTCAATGGATTGGCTTTGGGAAAAGGCAGTCATGACTCATGTTGGCAAGCTTGGCACTGAGACCCAGGATTCACTGCTAAGAAAGGACAGCAGCCATCAGGTTAGCAAGCAGGCCTCTGGGCCATGTGATTTGTTAAACACAGATTGAAGTTCTCACCATGACTTCTGTCTGGCTGCTGGTGCTTGAGCCCAAAGAAATTGAGAGTAGGCCTTTAGAAAAATTTTATGGCAAGTAACAATGGCTTCCTGCTTGCTGAATCTAATAAGAAGAGTGGGAATATGTATTGTGTAGATCTCTATGACTCATTTCAGTTTCTAGAAATCTTACTCTTATGTATTTCTCAGAAATGCTGATGAACAGTTGACAGGTCCCTCACCTAAGATGAAGTCTGAGAAGCTCTGCTGTAGGATTCTCTTCTCCAGAAATTCTGATGTAGTTTATGGTCAAGGATGCAGCCTGAACACCAGAGGGCCTCTAACTTTCTGGTGATTCTAAGGAGCAGCCATGACTGTGAGCCACCAGGTTCCAGATCAGTAGCATGGCCCATGCCTGGGAATTTGAGAGCAGGCCACCTCTCAGGCCCATACAGACTCCCTGAATGAACCAGAAACTCTGAGGCTGGGGTATAGTTCTTGAGGTCATTCTGATGCAGCTCAAATTTGGGAACTATTACCCTAGAATAAGTTTTTCAAGGTCAGACTTTGTTTCCTGCCCTGACAGGGCCCAGGGCCTGGCCTGACAGGCCACACAGATCCAGGAAACACCTGGCCTGAAGCACAGACTTGCCTCCACCTGTGCAGGCCTCGTCCCTCCCTGTCCCCACCTGTTCCCTCTCTATGCAGCTACATCACCTGGGCTTCAGCCTGAAAAATCCTCCTCTTACCTCCCTAGAATAGTCTCTTTATCAGGATGAGAAATCCAGCATTGCATGGCTTTTTCTCATTCATTGCTCTTTCATTCATTTACTCAGTTTTTTGTTTTTTTTTTTGGTACTGGGATCGAACTCAGGCCCTTGAGCTTGTGAGACAGGTAGTGAAACCACTGAGCCAAATCCACAGCCCTGTTACTCAGTTTTTTTTTTTGATACCAGGGATTGAACTCAGGATTTTGGGCTTGCGAGGCAGGTGGCGGAACCACTGAGCTAAATCTGCACACTACTGAGTTGTTTGTTGGACCACAGTTCTCTGAGCTCTTTCTGCTCACAGGTGTAGCTGGGCCTGGGGTGCAGAGCTGAAAGAAAGAGGCAGATGGACAAGGCATAGGCCTGTGGGGTGCACAGCATCCTTCTCTTCCCTTCTATTTCTGCCTTCTGGTGAGACTCAGCAAGTCAGTTGTTCCTCTACCTATGACATAGGAGGAGTTTGGACCAGATGAGATTTCAGAGCCCTTCCAGAGGTAGTGACCACGGCTTTCCAAAGATGACCAGTGGCTGAGGCAGAGGCCAGGCCTCTAGGCATGTAGTGAGTGCTCAGTCACTGTGGGTGAGTGGATGGATGGGGGCGGGGATGAATGGGTACTAGAAAGAACATGCTATGGACAGACGAATGATGAACATGAAGTCTTTCTGTGGGGTGGGAGAAGTGTGTGTGTGTGTGTGTGTGTGTGTGTGTGTGTGTGTGTTGATCTTAAGTTTTGGGCAATAGGAACCCATCAAGTCTTGCATCTCTGCTGTCCTGTCCTGGCTGCCCCACTCACGGGCCCAGCAAGTGGGTTATCTCAGCAACTCAAGCAATCAGAGGTTTGGAGAAGCAGCTGCGGGCAGGGAAAGCTCTCAGAGATTGCCCAGTCCCATTTCCTGTCAGGGATGGAAGTTCCCTGTGCAGCTCCCCTGGGGCTGGGCATCCAGCTTGTGCCTGGGAAGCTCCTCTTCTTCAGGTGACCAGGTCCCGTCAGGTTTTGAGGCTGCCTGCCCTGACCATTCCAGCCCCTCATGACCTTTCCACTCCTGCGCTCCACACCCAACACTGAGTCTGATCCTTACATGGCAACCTCTGGCCTCTCCCCAGGTTGGGATCTTCTCAGCTGCCCCATTAGTTTGGAAGCTACCAATCCTTATGAATTATTTTTAATAGCATAAGAAATACACAAAAACATTGTAATTATTAAAATTTTTAAATAAGCAGGGCTTGCACCTGTAATCCCAGCTACTCAGGAGGCCAAAGTGGGAGATCATCGATTTGAGGCCAGCCTGGGCAATTTAGCAAGATCCTGTCTTTTGAAAAATCAAAATAAGCAAGACAAACTTCTCCCTTTGTCTGCTCAATACCATCCACCTCCCTGAGAACATCTTTTTCTTAAAAATCAGGTTCTTGGGTTCCTTTCCATATTTAAAATTTTGCATTTACATTTGAATGTTTGTGTTTCCATTTTTTGTAAAGTTGCTTACATAAATATCACACTGTACTGATATTCTTTTCACTTCACAGTGTGTCTTAACTTTCTGTGTCAGCTCCTCTGTACCTCGGCACTTATAGGTGTCATCATCTGTGTATGCCACCTATGTCATAGCATAAATACGGCATAAAATGCCTCTCACGGTTTTTTGAGGGGCCACTCATGTTATCGGCTGCCATGCACATCAGGGCAGGGAAACGCCGCCCTTATCGACGGGTTGTGACTCATTCCCAGGGCTTTGCCATCAGGGCCTATGCTGCAGAGAGCATCTTTGCATTTGTTTGTTTCTTTGTGTAACCTGTGCAAGGATTTCTCTGAGGTATAAACTTTGCACTACTGATTTGGAGGGTACACACACACATTTTATATTTTCATAGCTACTTTATACTGCTCTCCAAATCGCTTGCTTCCTGGTACCTGAGGCTCCCAATATGTCCTATCCCTGTCTACAGCAGTGATCGTCAATCTCTGTGGTCTCCAGAAAGGGCTTAGTTCAGGTGCCTCTTAGCATGACAATTTTGGGGAAGTGACACCTTTTATATGGTGGCTGGCTTTCCTGGGATGCAAAAGTAGAAGCTGCTAGGTTTTAATGCCTGGACCATAAGTCCCAGAATGTCCTTGGTGTCTTGTGCCATTGGCCCAGCCAGTCATGGTGCCAGGACAGGGGAAACAGATATCACCTCTTAGTGGGTGCCGAGGACCCTTGGCAACAGAACACAAGGGCTGGGAACAGTCTACCACACATTGGAAATTCTCCCAAAGCAGACTGAGATAAAAGAAAATTTATTAGAAGAACACGGGGTGTCTCAGGGAGTCTCAGGCCAGGAGCTGCAGTCCAGGAAAGGTTGTAATGGAAAACCAATGATCCAGGCTGTACCCTCTTTTGTCTTGGGGACACCATCCTCTGCCTTATGCTTTTGTCTCCTGCCCTTGTTCACGAATGGAGCACGTGGTATTGCAAAACTGCTCATGACTGTGAAGTGAAAGAGAGAGGGGAAGAGGCTGGGATCCCAGGGATGCCTTTGGGGGCTCCCAGGGACCTGAGGACCTTCTACTTGGCCCTACCCCTTGTATTTCCACCACCTCCCAGTAGTGCCCTTGGCTTTTCCCTTGATTCTGAGATGTTGCCACAGAATGGCACCCTCAGTCCCCAATTGTTCAACTACCCCAAAATTTCTGAACCCTAAACCCCAGATGGGCCCAACCTTCTTTAGAGGCGTGAAATATGGCTACAGGGTCAGGGGTCATTGTTATCTTACTCTTACTAATAAAGAAAGGTG